CCCCCCCCCCCCCCCCACCTTCACGGAAAATTGCCGAATTTTCTGAAATTTTGACCTAAAAGAGGCCTAAAAACAGTCTTTTCGAGTGCAAATGGGGGGGGGACGTCGTAAATCAAGTTTTGTCGGAAATTTAGGAGGCTTTGCCCCCCCCCCGGAAAAAGTGAATTTCCGCCACTGTCTCCAGGCTTGTAACTAAAATGTCACTTATTAACGTACGTTTATATCAAACGAGAGCCTATTAAGAAATCCACGTTGATCACAATCTAACGATTCATACAATTGTGAATTCATAAATACGAGCCAGTAAAAATAGGATTCTTTTGTCGTAATATGTCTCGCACATGATTGTAAAGTCCTAGTATTTATATGTAGCTTCGCATATGAGTAATTTTTCGCGGAAATAGGTGCATGTAAAAGCGGGAAGGATGGACAGTAATATATAAGGCCAAGCGATAAAACTAGTTATTAGATAATAGTTATTATTATTGAATGTTGTGGCTAAATTTTTGCGAAAGTTTTTGTTTTATATTATACTGGATTGTTCCTTTGATTGTATATGCCTCTTGTTTACTTTAATTTCGAGAATTTGAGCATACTAATTATGTTAAGTTTCGCAAATATTGTTTGCTTTATGTTCCGATACACAGGAAATAAAATTAGTTCAGCCGTCATAGGCGTATGGGCGGGAGCCAGAAAGAAAATTTACCCGACTTTTACCCACTGAATAAAATTTTCCGTGCAACTAAATTTCCAAAATTGTCGTTGGGAAGTAGAGGCAAAAATATTTTCCTATTTGTCGATTCCTCGTTACTTTTACATATTTCTGGTATTTTCAAATACCATATTGCATGTACTGTCTTCTTTTTAAATTTATTTCCCCCAATTTTTGCCCGAATTTATACGTTTATAATTTGCATGACTTTATTTTGAACGGGGGGGGGGGCGGGACTGCCTCCCCCCCCCTCGCCCGTACGGCTATAATCAGCCGTTGTTACGGATCGGTTAATATATATTGTGTTAAAAATATTTTGACTTTGTTGTTTCTGATGACAATTTTGCCGACTCTCGACTTTTTATTCTCGTTGACTCTCGACTTTTTACTCTCAATCGACTCTCGACATTTTACTCCCGACTCTCGACTTTTTACTCTCGACTTTTTACTCTCGACTCTCGACTTTTTACTCTCAACTCTCGACTTTTACTCTCGACTCTCGACTTTTACTCTCGACTCTCGACTTTTACTCTCGACTCTCGACTTTTACTCTCGACTCTCGACCTTTACTCTCGACTTTTAGATACACTCCACCCATCCCACCTCTCTACTGGACACTGCCTTTTCGAAGGCCTCCACAACCCCAAAACATCTTCCATTTTCTCCAATAACCAACCCCTTTGTCTCTTTTCAACACAGCAAAAATATCTGTGAAACCCTAGTTTCCTTGCCGGGTTGCCAAAATGAAATGCAAAACCTGTGACTTTATAGATTCTGCCACCACCATTTCAGCACCAAAATGTGCACCTCCCATCTCATCTACTACATCTCATGCAGTACATGTGGCATGCTTTATATTGGAGAAACTGGAACATCTTTGAGGACAAGGTTTGATGATCATCGGCATGCAGTTATTGGCAATGATGCTAACCAGCCTGTTGCAGGACATTTTAATACTGGCAATCACAGTGTTTCAGATATTGAAATTCGATCCCTCTATCCCATTTCTGGTAGCAACGATAGCCAGAAAAGACACAAATGCACCTCATTTCCAAACTTGGCACTGTCCACCCCTATGGCATTAATTAATGAACATTTTTCCTATCTTTAACTCTATCTGTCTTTGCCTACAGTCTAAAGCAGACATTGACAGTATTTTTAATTCTTACCTTACTGCACACTTGTTTTATATATTTTGTTGTATTTGCTGTAGTTTTCTGTATATTTGTATAAATATATTCTGTAGTTCGATTTACATTTTTTGTTTAAAGACTATGTTTTGACTAAATCCATCTGATTGGTTTATTTTTTGTCACGTGATCACTTATATATTCTCAGTATAAAAGCTCATGTAATTTTCCCGACCCACAATAGTAACTCCAGATGAAGGGCCTTCGCTCGAAACGCCGAAATTCTCCTTATATTTTTGAGGTAGTTGCATCCCTACCAACGAAAGACAATTAGTACCCTATTTATGGCCAGAACCCAGTGTAATAAAGCAGAAGATGGAGGTAATAGGGGATCATGAGGGACAACTGTGTACCAGAGTTCCATTACTGCCATGCTTTCTCTCTTGACATGCGCTGCCAAATATTAACTTTTTCTACCGAGTTGCCTACGTAGGAGGTGGGAGCTTAATATAGAGGGGAAGTCTTAACTTAACAGAGATGGGGGTTTAATAGTGAGGGGGGGGGGGGGGGGGGGGGGGGGGAGGTGGTCGACTAAACTACATTGAAACAAATATAAAAATTACTATAACTGTTCAAGTGGTTTAATTCGATTTATTGAGTACTATTCATTTGAACAGGTAACCAACAAATTAAGAACAAATTGAGCAGTGAAAGCGGCGAAGATGACATCGGAACTGCAAATAACGAGAATGAAACCGTCCTAACTGACAAGGAGGAAAGCATTGAAATTCAACGGAAGTCACATACAGAGGTCACCAACGAACATGAAACGGCACTGAATGATGCAAAAATAAATCAGAATGCAAGCAATGGAAACAAAATGAAAGGCCAGCATGAATCAGAAATCACCAATGATGACAATGATGCAACTCCCAGTCTGAATGATAAACTAGATAAAGAACAAAGTGAAAATAGCAATGAGATTTTGAGCGAGAGCAATGAAGAAATGAGCTATCCTACTAGTGAAGGAGAAATTATTCGCCAACATAAATTCTACATTCATAGCTCATGGCTAGCCGTACAGAGTTCCTACTTCCGTTCCTTGTTTTTCTCTGGAATGAAGGAATCGAGTGCTACCGAAGTTCATATTCAGATCTCGGAAAGCGAAGAACAAGCTCAATTGATTTTATTGGAAGCAATGTATAAAATTGATACAGTGGACAATGCTAGTGTTGATGAACTTCTCGAAGTTTTGAAAATTGCTGATAAATATGATGTGAAATTCGTATTCAAGAAAGCTAAATACTGCTTACAAGCTGCAGTGGTCTCCCTTGATATTTGTGAGAAGATTATGTGCTTTATTAAAGTTGATAATACAATCACAGATGTTGACGATCTTGCAAGCACACTGCAGTCCTTTCTTGCAAACGAATTCAGCCCTTTAGATAAAAAATGGCAGACAACAAGTTTTAAAAAGCTGTGCGAGCCTTCGGTGCGGTATCTGCTAAGTAGTGACGAACTGATTGCAGAAAGCGAGAACACCATTTTTCACGCATTAGTTTATTGGATCGAGCAAAATGGAATTGATAATGTCTCAGATATTCAAGAGCTTCCCTCACTGTTGTCGGTTGTCAGATTTGAATTGATTCCTATTGATTATTTGTACAATATTGTACAGCACAATGCTGTCGCCAAGAAGTTAGCAGATTTCAAGGACCATTACTTACATGGAGTCAATTATCATGCTCTATCGGATAGCATGAAGCAACGGTTGCCGTGTCAGCCAGTGAAAAGGAAAGCTACTACGCAGCCATTCATTCCCTATACATGGGTGATGCCGAGAGATGCATTGAATAAGTTGGTGGGAACGAACCAACGACTCGTATCAAATTTATTTTGGTACTGTGGTTACAGAATGGTCCTGGTATTTACTCATGTTGTAAAGATTAACAATTTGGGAGAAAACCGAGCACTGTTCAATGCCGCACTCTCCTTAGGAGTCATCAACATAACTGAACAAAGTGAAGTTAGAATTCAGTGGCAGCCAGTAAGTCAGTCTTTTAAATCGATTGTTTCTGAACAAATACACACATTTGATAACCAAGAATGTATTTCATCTGTGCGTATAAAGTACGAAATGGAAGTCCAGTCAGAAAAATCAAGTAGCAACGAAGCGTTGAGTAATGGATCCAACCCAACTGCTGTTCCAAAACAGGAAAGGCCTACTACACCCTGCTTCATGTCCATTGATGTGAGAATGAATTTGTTAAGAGTGTATATGCTTTTACATAAGAATTGAACTCATAATAAAGTTGTAACTGAACTCATTAAAAAGTTATATGTTCAAGTATATTGTATTCTTAGTTTATCTAAGTTCAATACAAATGTGAAAATAATGAAATAGAAATCAAGCCAAGAAATCAACTAGCATTAAGTGATAACTGGCGGATCTTGTTACCAGAAATTTTACTTGCAGTACGATCACCCAATAACTAGAACTGGTACGTCAAATTTTAGCACTACTCAACCTAAGGCAAACCATAATGCAGGGACAGCAACAATGCCTCAGAGGCCTCCACCTGAAATGACTCATGGGCTACCTCCACCTTTTCTCATGGCAAGAAGTGGACATACCTCAAGACTTAGTTTTGGCACTGCAAATACTGCACCCAGCATAAACACATTGAAAGCATTGTGCTTATCCATTGATTTGAATACGAATCTGGTAAAGACTGTACACTTTGGGCACAAGATGAACTTGTAATTATTTACAATTTTTTGTATGTGTAGTTTATGAAAATTTAATTTGGTCTTGATAGATCTTACTGTTTATAGCATTCTTGCGGTTATTTCCTTATGTTTTTTCTACGATAGGGTTAAGAATTGGGATAATGGGAATTTCACTTTCATTTCAAGCTGACATGCTATTAGGCAACATTACAATACAATGTAAAGTATATATTGTTATTAAATATGAGCAAAGAGGGCTTGGAATATTGGCATGCTAAAGTCGCACCCACAATATTACAGTATGCAAACTGTCCCCTAGTTTTCATCGGATTAGGTCCAATTATTGCGGTATCGGTAGACAATCGGAATCGGTGAACGTTCCTGTATTTCCCAATTGTAGAACCGATTATACAGGGTGCGATCATTCAAGATTTCTACAGGGTGTATCAAAATAAACGCAATTCATCTTTTGTGCTTAATAACTTTCGAACTACTATTTCTAGTTAAACGCTTTTAGGCTTACTTCAAAGCCTGTTCTTTTCTCTTTCAAACAAACTATCATCCTTGTCTCCAATGCTAGTATAATAATTGCACAGGAAAAGATTTAGTAAAACCTATCATTTTTAGTTGCTGTTTAATTATGCACGTTTACTATGTTATTGTTTAGTCCATTTAAATGTTAGAATTTTCTTCTTTAAACTTTAATGTTGTCGTCACTACATCTGGAAAACCACGTAAGAACAAATTAAAAGTATTTTAAAAGAGACCAGGTTGTTTGAAAATCCTAAACGAATGCTAAAAATCGTCAAAACATTCTTGTGTCTGAGCCAGAGTGTCATCGAATTGCGATGTAATGTAAACAGAAATTATAGCAAGTTGATGTCAGTCAGCTTAGATGGTCCAAGCCAAAATTATATCGCATTTGAAGTTTCAAACTGAGTTAAAAATAGTGGAAGAAAAGCCGTAATTATACTTATTGTTACAATCTATTTAATAAAATGCAACATTTTTTTGTTTTAATGAAAAAATCAGTTATTTTCATGAGAACGATTTGTTATTCCATCTCAATTTTTTTAATCTCCAATCGCAATAACGTAAAGTATTATTACCCGCGAACCAATGAGTCAAATTTAAGAAACAACCCACTGTTAGAAAGCTGAATGGCTACGCTTTAAAATGAATGTTAACTTTAACGTTTTCGTCTATTATTTGTTTAGCAATTTACATTTCAGTCGAGGATTGCGCTTTTTTTTATACACCCTGTAGTCGTACCTGACTGGTACGCCAATGGTTGTTGCCGCGTACTTGCGCTAGAACAAACTCAGTACTCAATGTGTACTTAGTCTTTAAAATAAGGTTCATAAAGTACAGGTTTCTGAAAAGTATGTTTAGACTACGAGGTAGCAAACGGAGTTTTGCTATTTGAAAAGGGTGTATTGCTATTTGAAAAGGGTGTTTTGCTATTTGAAAAGGGTGTTTTGCTATTTGAAAAGGGTGTTTTGCTATTTGAAAAGGGTGTTTTGCTATTGAAAAGGGAGTTTTGCTATTTGAAACGGCAGTTTTGCTATTTGAAAAGGCAGTTTTGCTATTTGAAAATGGAGTTTTGCTATTTGAAAAGCCGGGAGTTTTGCTATTTGAAAAGGGTGTTTTGCTATTTAAAAACGGAGTTTTGCTATTTGAAACAACCGACTCCAACGTTTCTTAAGCCCTGGGCAAACTGGGAAACATTGTTGCGGAACCATTGTCATTGTTGCGGAAACATTGTTTCCTGCTAATGTTTCGCCATGTTTCCAAGAGTGGGCAAACACTGGGAAATATTAGTGAGAAACATAGGGAAACGTCAAATGTTTCTGAATTTGCTAGGAAACATTTTTGCTTCTTGGGAAGCAAATTTTGTTTCCGCAACAATGCTTCCACGGGTGGGCAAACAGGGAAACATTTGAGGAAACATCGAGAATCACAAATGTTTCCACAACAATGTTTCCTAGTTTGCCCAATGCCCAGGGCTTTAGTGCTATCTGCAGTGCAATCGTGTTTCATGCCAAGACATCTCAGACACATGATATACCAACTAAATTACGGCATTGAATACCTTGGACTTGGAAAGGTCATGTGGTACCAGCAAAAATTAAGTACGCAGATAGCAAGAGTTCCGCGTAACTACGTGGTACGTGGCTGAAAACAAAGAAGTACCAGACAGTAATATTGGCGTACCTCCGGTACGTAAGTACGCCAATTATCGCACGCTGTATTATACGAAAATAAAACCACCCTTGACACTCTTAGAAGTTTCTCCTTCAAACAGAAATTGCCAATCTATATGGGATTTGTCTCTTTTTGTATCATATTGCACAATTTGTAAAATCATTGCTAATTGAAACAATACACTTCTTTCAGCTAATTCCACGGAATTCGATTCCTGGAATGTTGAAATTGGATTTGCATACTCTGCAGAGTGCAACAATATTTGCGCTTTTTGACTTTTTGATTGGCTGGCTTAAGAGCGTCGGAAATGACGTCTGGGTTCGCAGACTACAGTTTACGCCACAGCTACAGACAAAGCGCTACAGAGAACGCAAACACAAATTAATTTACAGTGAATTCTGGCGTTTAAAGTATTGCAATCAGTTATAACATAACGACATTCTGTCTCACAATGTCTCGTGCTCTGAAACCAGACGACGTACTGGAATTATCAAAGTTGTACGAAGCAGAGTTTAACAAGCCCGATATGCACGACAGAGTTTTAATATTTGATGTTGTCGCTTCATGGCCACGTAGACTTGAAAATGAAGGAATTAAGAACGAAGCTAGCAGTCGAAGCGAAGATGGAAGCGATGGTGAAACAGCTGAAATTGAAAACGTGGAAAATAGTGTGAACACAAGCGATGAAAATGAAACGGAAAGCCACGATTGCGAAATCGCTTCAAATGGTCAGTATTATAAACTTTATTTATACATCGAATCTATTGTATATATCTTGCTCTGTAACCGCAAACAAAAGGTTGCTTTCATTAATTTCAGGTCACATTTCATCGGTGCAAGTTATTGGAGGGGGAGCCTGATTTAGCTGAGACTATATGACCAAAGTGCAGAATAGTTTCTTTGTCGTGATAGTA